CCTCTTTCTCTCTTTCTCCTTTTTTATTTATTTATTTTTTCCTTCTTCTGTACCCAGAGAGGCAGCTGTAATTTGATGGGGGCTGCCCTGTGTTTTAGGGCACTAAATCAGGACAGTGCCCAAGATGGGCTGTACATCCTGAGCCAGGATACAGGTTTGGCACATGAGACACTAGAAATAACCTCTAATGGCAATGCACCTTCCTTTCCAGAGTTCAGTGTTGGTTCCAAACTTTGTACTAGCTGGAAATTGGGTAATAGGGGGTTGTTTTGAACCTCTGAACTTTGTTTTCTTTTTTTTTTTTTGGCTGAGTAGTTTATACTGGTATTTCCGCAGAGGGAAGTAACAGGGAGTTGTGTGGAATAAAAGTAAGCTTCATCTGCACGTATGATGTGTATTTATGCCTTTTACAGTGATATAGAGAAGGCAAAATAGAACTTTAGGATTAAATTAGGATGAAACATCCTAAAATATTTCCTTGCTGTTTAGGAGTAATTATCTTGTTTCTGTCATAAGATCATTTCAAGTTCAAGAAAAGCTGATTATTGCTGTATTTTTTTTTTTACAATACCCTCAAACTCTTTTTGTTGTGTTGGAGCTGTTGAATGATAGTCATCTCTCCCATTTCATTTAGTCTTTGTTCCATTAGTCACAAAGCTATCAGTTAAATTGGAGAAAATTGTCTTAACTGAAGAGCAAGACAAACATTAAGAACTGTGTGCAAGGCTACGATAGAAACATGTCTGCAAAAGTTAATTTGTTGTGATTATTAATGTATGCAGTGTTTCCTGCAGCAATGTAACTATCTTAACTGTAAAAACATTGTCAAGATGACTAAATTTTTATCTATGTTCACAATTTTCTGCTTTTCTATATTCAAAAGCATGCAGGCTTGTGGTTTCAGAGAAACATAATGGCCAGTTCACTTATGCAGTAAGGTGTGGTATGTTTGTCTTCTCTTTTATGAATTCAGAGTCTCTTTTTTTCCTCTGTGTGTAAAGCAACTGGCTGTGATGTTTTGAGTCACTGTAGGTAATAGGTTTAATGCATTTGGTTTTGCTGACTGGTCGCTAATAGTGTTTGGCAGTTATTAGTTCAGTGGGGTCAGGAGCACCGTGTGTGGGAAGTGCATGTCCTTCCTTTTGATCAGCTGCACTGGCCTCATCTTGATGTTTTTTATAGTTTCATAGTTCCTTAATAATAAAGAATTATTTTCCCTTTCAGTTCAATGTAATAGAAATCCATGTTTGATATTTGTGGAGCTAGTTTGGCAAGGAACCTGTTAACAGGATGTTGATACAGTAGTAAATCAGAAGATGATCTTCTATTTTAACAGCTATTTCTAACAACAGCATGGTAGATATATTGTAGCACTTTGTCAAAATATGTCTTTGTTTTGCATCTCAACTCTTGGGTTCTGATATTAAACTTCTGAGGGGAGGACTGTCAGCTTCTTGTATGATTAGATGAAGACTGTTGGAATATGTAAGGTTTTTTTTTTTTTTTTGCAGCTGGTATCTTTTTTAAATCGTAAGTTTTTCAGATATGCAATGCAACTTTGTTCAGAGTTATTGGAGGCTTGAATGCAGTATTGCATTGAATGCAAACCGTACAAAACAGTTTGCTCTTCAAGGTTCCACTGCAGAATAATGAACTTTCTTCCAAATGAAGAAATCAGCAGTTACTACACTGCTATAGAGCTGTGATTTGGTTTTGTCCGTGTGATCTAGTGTCGCGTTTAGCTGGCTGCAGAGGATGGTGATAAGGTGATTTTCCAGAACTCTTCCTCCTGCCTGCCACCTGCCCCCTCTCCCCACAAAAAAAAAAAAAGTTTTTCTTGACTTTTTTTTTTCCTTGATTGGAGGAACATGAGAGATTTTTTTATGCCTTCCCAGGAAGAGGAACTGTACGCGTGCCAGCGAGGCTGCAGACTGTTTTCCATTTGTCAGTTTGTGGATGATGGCATTGATTTGAATCGGACCAAGCTGGAATGTGACTCTGGTAAGAATTCAGTACATCCTGTAGTTTATAAACAAATGAAGAGAATAGTAGGAATACTGAGGTATTGCCAAGTGGATGGGATTATTTCAGTGAGAGTTTTGTTGTTGTTTATGAAGTTGCAAAAAAACCCCAACGTTGTTTACAGAATATTTTTAAAAAAACAAACAAACTTTTCTGAATATTCTTCTTTGTGGGAGTTTCTCCTTAGCTGATACCTTAAATATCACTTGATGTAAATAAATCAGAAATATTTAATTTTACTTTAAAAAGCTTGTCTTAGAAGGTAAGTTATTTTGTTCGGTCTTTAAGTTAACTCTCTTCCTTCAGTTATGCCATGCAACGTCAATCCCATTTACATTCCTAGCAAACTTGGTTATAAAAGTATAAAGGTAAATAAATCAACTGGTCTAAAAATGCAGATCTTGAAGTACTGTCTTGTAATTTGTAGTCCAGGCTGTAGCTGTGGTTTGTCTTTAGCTGTGCGGTTGGGAATGAGGTGTATGTTTTGTTTGAAATCGCAGTGAAATACTTGTGACTAATTTTCCCAGATTAGCTGTGTTAGAGCAAAAATCACATAGTGAAGATGAATTGTTTTGCTGTAGCCCATTTAGTTTTTTTCCTTACAGTCATATATAACTTTCTTCCAGTAATGCTGAAACGCTTGATTAACACTTTTATTCAGAGCATAAATGGGACATAAAAGCCTAAAGTGGGAAAGCTGCTGTTTCTCCCTCTGTATTTCAAATACAATTAAGTACCAAGTCAGCATGGAAAAGAGGCTTTCACTCTCAGTAATTCATGAGAGCAAGAAGACAGGTGCTAGCTCAGGGAGCTGATGGAAGGTTTGTAGGTAGAAAGCCTGACGTGCAAAGATGCACTAATGTGATACAAAGCTGCATTAAAATGCTCTAGAAATGGGCTAATGCTCTAGTCTGTCACACACTGTGTCTAGCTGTGATACAGCATGTCAATCTAGTTGTCAAACCGCACATGAGAGAGTGCCGTAAAAAGGGTAACGCAGCAATAGACCAAATGTAGAGGTAATTGAACAGTTGCTTACTCTCTGGTTTAACTCTTCTTTCTGAGGCTGTTGTCTTTTGCTGGCTTATGTTCTGTAATCTGTTACATTGGTTGGTGCCCTGACTAATTATTCTGTGCTTGGCAAGATACCTCCTGGCTGGTTTGCTCAGTGCTGTCTTCTGATGTCTCTTTATGAATACGAGCTCTGCTTGGGTGGCGGTTTTACCACAGAATTGCTGCTCAGGTGCTGTGAACTGAACACTCAGATGTTTAGCTGCAGATGCCATGCTTCTCAACAGGGTTTTACATGCCTGTAGCCTTCCTGATAGTGCACTTACTCATTTCCCTTTCCCGTGGGAAGACTGGGAGAGCTGCTGTCCTCCATTTTCACCTGAATCTTCAGTTCTTGTAGTGTTGTAATAATGTCCATGTAACTTCAGTATTTTGAGGAAGAGCTATTGCCATGTATTGTCTCTATGCATAAGCTGTAGACAATTCAGTTTTCTTGTTTTTCATGGTCTCTGATGAGTGAGTGTTAAAGATATTTGTAAAACAAGAAATGAGTAGTCTTTGTTTTGGATAAAAAATGCTCAATAAGACTTTCAGTGCGGTTTCTGTACTCATCACGCTAGCAGGAGAGCACTTCCTTGTTTTGCTCTGATGCCTTAACTTCTGCTGTTGTTTCAAAGGTATTTAATGGACCAATGGCCCTTCTACTAAGTTCTTTTTAGGATATGAGCTCTGTTCTGTGAGGTGAAATTCATATTTCATGTGGTAGGTGTAGAAAAAAATATAGTAGACTATAGCTGCCTTGATTGCATTCAGATTTTCAATACACTGTCAGTCTGAGCTCTTCTCTTCACCTTCACTAGTCCAAAGAGCAAGTGCTCCACTTGGAGTGATTCCTGTATCTTTCTCTACAAGTGGGATTGCCGATTTTCAACCTGCTGCTTTGTTCCTGATCCAAGTTATACTAAAAATGTTTTTTGTAGCTAAAATACAGAAATTATCTTCTCATTTGGGGAACTTCTTCCTTGCAGCCTGTACTGAAGCATACTCCCAATCTGATGAACAATATGCTTGCCATCTTGGATGCCAGAACCAGTTGCCATTTGCTGAGTTAAGACAAGAGCAAGTAAGTAGATGACATGTTTTTCAAATACCACCTACTTGTTTTCTGCTCAGTGTGTCTTCTCTCCCTCAAATTTGATCAAATGGAAGATAAATCTTTCTAAGGAGTGAAACTCAGATGTGGGGTGAGGAAGAAAATGCCTTCTGTCTTTGTCATGTAAAAACAAATGGAAAACTCCATAGTGTTGTTTTTGCAGTTGATGTCCCTGATGCCAAGAATTCATCTTCTCTTTCCTCTGACACTGGTGAGATCATTCTGGAGTGACATGATGGATTCAGCTCAGAGCTTCATAACATCCTCATGGACTTTCTACCTTCAAGCAGATGATGGCAAAATTGTCATATTCCAGGTGCTTAACTTTTGTCACTGAAATTAGTGTCCCGGATGCTAAATGTAACTGCTCCTTCCAGTCACAGAAAAGACTGTGGAGTGTTTTCAGAAGCGTGTATATATACATGTATATTTTTTGGATAGCATTTTGTTGCTTTTTTATGGCCAGTGCAGGAAAAAAAGCAAACTTAGGTGAATGGTGCATATTCTAATGTTATCTTCTGTATTAATTCTGAAAATGTGAATGATCAAGATTGGTTGAAACTTGCAAATAGGGTCTCTTTATCTCCTTATTTTGTTTCAGTCAAAGCCAGAAGTGCAGTATGTTCCACAGCTTGATCAGGAAACTGGAGATACAAGAGAATCCTTGTCACTGAGTAAAACAGCCTGTAAGTTGGGGGGGTTTTCTTGTGCTTTGGAAGAACAAATGCAAAAGTTTCATGCTGTGTGAGGGCCGGGGAGGGGTAAGTGAAGTTCCATGTCTTGAAGGCAAATGTTTTAGAAAAAGAAAATGTTTGTCATGTAGACCACCTTGTGCACACTTTCACAAAGTCTGTGGCAGAAACCAAACTGTGCTGGTAACAGAAACATGCAAGCTAGAGCCATATAGAAATCCTCCTTTTATGCTCTCTGTATAGACAAACTACACAAAAACTGGAACCTTCTTTTGTTTTGCTTTCCTGACAACCATTCTGCTGTTGCATTTCAGTAGGCCTACATCCAGGAAGTTCGCAGACGTACAGAGGACTTTTTGAAGAGCGAGAAAATGATAGCTTTTTCAAGTGTCTTTCCACGTATGTATCTTCTAGTATGTAAAAGCCTAATATGGAGGATCATAGTCCTTTGTGCATGTGTACGTGGCCTTGTTGCAAGATTTCCAAGTGCTAGGAAGTCCAGCACTCTGGTGTGGCTATTAAAGTGGTGCTTGTTATTGCTGCTTTTCCATACTAGCCCCATGTTACATGTAGGCTATGTTGCCAACTTTCATTCTCTTTTCAATTCTCTTGGACAAAATATTGATTATTTTTCTGCACTTTTTTGTTTGTTCTTTGAACTATTTGATCAGTTCTGTGTTTTGCCTGTTCTGCTCTTGGCTGTGTTTCGGAGCAAAACAATTTTTCTGTGTGCCTGGA